TCTCTCTCTCTCTCTCTCTCTCTCTGTCTTCTTCTTCGTCGTGGTCTTCTTGCAGGTGCGCGGCGGCTTCTTCAATCTCAGGTCCGCTATGGCGGACTATCTCCTTCGACTGCCACCTCGGCTATGGCGCATCAGGCCCTGCATACGACGGCGCGCATGGAATAGCGGGTACCAGCTTCGATACCAATGCAATCAGACTCGTTCTCAAACACACTTTTCATGCATTTAAACAGCAATGCAGCATACTGGCGACATGCGCCCACTCAAAACTCAGAGAAATGGCTTTCAGACACGAGTTCACTCTCAATTGGCTATGGCGACTTCAGCGCCCAAACATCTCACTGTTCACATACACTGGATCACCCTGCATATCCCACACGCATCACTCTAACACTCGAACACACACACACACTCACTTCTAACTACAGCTATGGCAGCTTTCGCTGCATCTAACCTATCGCTAGACTAACTCCCTCTCTCTTGCCCACTGCGTCCTCCGGGCTCATCTGCAGACCTCCTTGCACAAGTCGCTGTGGCAGCGCTTCCGCATGGCTCACGCAGGAATGAATGAATGGCTGGGCGCTACCTCTTGATTTATACTTCAGAAACTCGTTGGTCTGCCCTTTGCCATCGGCCCTTGGTGCGCACAGTCCCCCTGTGGTACTTGCTGGACCGGACTGGGACAGACTGGACCTTCCGCTGACTGACTGTGGACTCACCGCTATCTTACCGACGTTGTACCGCTGTTGCACTGCGGTTTAGTCCACCACTTGCCTCACCACTTGACCACTTGCCCACTTGCCTACCTTCTAGAAGGTCTACAGCTAAGCTTCCGGAACTTACTAAGACTCCTACGCTATAGACCTACAGATCGAACCCCTGCTGCCTATGGACTTACGACAGGCCTACCAACTAATACACAGGTCACAGGTTCAATTCCCGGGGTCTACACAGATACTGTACATGGGTAGGGTGAGGTCTAGGGATCGAACCCTGGGTACTGAATCCGCTACTGCTAAAAGGTGAAAACCGTTTCAATCAAGGAGACATGACCCTAATTCATTCTTGAAAACTGTGTCCAATACCTGTTCGTTCAGGACCTGTTTGTGACCGTTCAAAACGACTTTTCATTTCATTATGGATGCGACATTTGCCTCAGGAACTTAGTCTTTTGAGTTGCTGCTCGTGAATTTAAGTTCTGGCCGACAGGGCCCCTCGCTGTTGGGGCATTCATCTGGGGTTTAATTCGTAAAGGCCCTTTTATTATCTAATTTGTACATGGCCAATCCACTGAATCAGATTCATTCCGTTTATCTGTCCTCCTCTCGTCTCTCAATTAGGTCAATCAAATCAGACCGTACAAGATCGAGACCAAGACGACAGGATTTGAAGCAGCAGCTGCAGTGTCAGAAGGATAAGAAGATTACCAAGATCCAGACGGAGAAGACATGTCATGATACATACACACACACACATATACATATATATATATATATATTATATAGACTAGCAAGGATGAAGGTCGAGATGAGTCCTAACGAAGGAAGGTGACACATGGATAGATGAGTGTCGGCAAGGCGCCACGTGGACAAGATGAGTGTCTCCAACAAGCATGAAAAGTAGCACAGGTTGTTTGGCTAGCAAACAGGGAGGAAGGGAGAGATAGGCATAGTAACTGCAGTAAGTCTGGTAACTGTAGTGGAAACTGCGATAGTAACTGCATTAACTGCAATAGTGAGTGTGGTAGCTGTGGTAATTGTAATAGTAACTGGAGTAACAGGGAGGAAGGGACAAAGGGAGAGATAGACGGTGTACAAAAGGGAGGGGGTTGCTGTAATAACTGCCCACTCACAGAAAGGGGCAATCCTCGCGTTTTGACTACCGAAGGGACAAGTGCCCAGAGCCGTTGAAGGAGTCTTGTGCTCCTATGTGCTCGCGCTAATCTATTTGTTTCCTTGCAGAGTGAAGGCTTTTTCTCTTTTGGGGGGGAGGGGGAAGAGGGGTCTGAGCACATGCGCAATTGATTTAGAGAGAGAGAGAGAGAGAGAGAGAGAGAGAGAGAGAGAGAGAGAGAGAGAGAGAGAGAGAGAGAGAGAGAAGACCACGAACGGGGGCGCTCACACAGGAGATACAGAGACCAACACTTCACTGGGCGAGAGAGTCGATTGAGGATGTACATAGACTGATAGACGGACCAGGAACTCAGGCGCACGAACGAGCACGCTCTCCTCATAAGAGATGGATAAGGTAATCGATAAGGCAATGGTGAAGCCGGCAGAATTTGCATGCAGCTGGGTATTGTCGTGGCTGTCAACTTCTCCTGTTTCTGCAAGTTACTTGGGACCGGCGATAGAGTTCCTGGAAGGGCTGTGGCAACCAGTGACGGCGCTTGTGCTCGTAGGGGTAGCCATCCTTCTGTCTTCGGCACAGGATCTTGGGAGAGAGAGAGAGATCACCTACTCCGTCCTCAGAGCTTTTCTCCAGCTCCTAGCCATCGGATACATCCTGGAGGCGATCTTCTTTCTGAACTCGGTGGTCTGGATTTTTCTAGATATCTGTTTCATGATCGCCGTGGCTGCTTATACTGCTGCACAGCGCGCCAAGAGGGTCCCCCATAGCTTCCTCATAGCCCTTACCGCAATCTCCACAGGCACTGTGACCACTATATCGATGCTCGTCTTGCTGCGCGTCTTCCCCTTCAAGGCCCAGTACCTGATTCCCACTGCCGGCATGATGGTGGGCAGCAGTATGAGCGTTACTGGGATGACCCTAAACCAGATAAGGGAGCAGATAAAGCAGAACTACGCGCAAGTGGAGGTTGCTTTGGCACTAGGAGCCACGCCCCGCCAGGCTGTGCGCAATCAGGTCAAAAGGGCTTTCACAGTGGGTCTGGGCCCGTTGCTGGATAGTGCCAAGACTATGGGGATAGTCACATTGCCAGGGGCGATGACAGGGCTCATTCTGGGGGGCACGTCCCCTCTGGAAGCGGTCAAACTTCAAATCGTCGTAGTCAACTTCCTAGTGGGGACATCCGCCATATCCTCCCTGCTTGCAACGTACCTCACGTGGCCACTCTTCTTCACACCGACGCAACAGTTTCGACCTGGTGCTTTCGATGACCATCACACACACAGTACACTCTCCCCCTCCTTGTAGGCATCAGTATCGTCGTCATTACCCCCACCCGGCTCCTTGCCATCCCCATTGATCATACAGAACATTCCGCAGAAGGACAAACGCTGAGGTGAGGTGGGAGATAATTCACATCTATCATGTATCCACCTGCCTACCAATCCATGGCGGCGTAGAAACACATAGTGTATACATATGTCTGTATGCAGTCTATACATATCATACATATTCTAAGCTTAGTCTATAGGTAGAGGTACATGGTCTGTACGTGTGTCTTAGTCTATAGTCTATACATAGTCAATGTGTATTCTATACGCAATATACATAGTCTATGCACATGTCTTAGTCTGTTAATAGTCTATACGTAGTCCAATGCATAGTCTATAGACTCTATACGCAGTATACATAGTCTATGCGTATGTCTTAGCCTGCTCATAGTCTATATAAC